CTGGTCATGACCACACCGCATGTAGGAAAACTTCGTTTTACCCAGTCAAACACATAAATCTTAATCATATCATTAAGCGTACTCCTAATTGGAATATAATGAAACTATTTGGTGAAAATGAACTCATTTCATTTGATTAACAAGTAAGTAAATTGTTAAGTGCGATCATCCCAGACTTTGTGTCCGCTTGTGTAATCGTTTAAACTTCGCCAGAACGTTGGCATCCAGTATTAAGAAAAGATGAAATTAACAAAAGAAAAGGTATCATTCAAGTTTCTGCGCATATCACCTGCATGCGCGCTTAACATTTGTAAACTGTCCAGTAAACTGTCTATGTTTCGAAGGCTTGTTCCTTTTTCTTGTGGAGATTTCCCTCCAAATCCAGTCTTGATGGCAACGACTGAAGTGTAAACTGCCGGAAAATATCCACAACCATGACTATCTCCAAAACTTGCAACACCAGCAATAAACCATCCGTTCGTTTTCGGCAACTGACAGTATAAGCCACCGCCGCTGTCACCGGTGCACGATTCCTGCAATAAGTAAAACATACTACAAGGTAGACAGTAATTATTTACGTTGTGCTTACGCTGTCTATGCATATTCAACATGTCTGAAGTTGTTCGGCCACTGTCCGTCTAGTACAAGCAATTCTCTCATAATACATCCATGAATCGCGAGATTACCTTCTTTTACTAATGAGTGGCTACAATCGAAACTTCTAACATGTCCAGTAGTGCTAAAGTGCTTAACCGCCTAAAAGTACGCAGGCAGATTTGAGCACCGAAGTATTGTAAATCAGAACAAAATGAGGTCAGGTTATTACTCGAGCTTGCTTTTGGGATAGTACTGATGTCCTACAAGAAGAAGCAAAGCCCGAGCACAAAACAGCTTTTGTGAAATTAGCTTGTGTAATTAGTTTGGAGCATCAATAAAGCCTATATGGACTTTGGGACTATCCACGTATGTCTTTTATTTTCCACTTAACTATATCAATAAAATTCAATAACCGAGTCCTAAATGAAAAATTTGTCAATGTTATAGGGTGTTTTCCACACAAAAGCCAGATTGCTTAACTATTCAACATTACAACATGGAATACGAAAACTATGGCATATCTTCCAAAAGCATCATTTCCGAGTGCTCATCCACAGAGGTTTAGTGCGCGTTACCACTTGGCTATCTGAGTTTACAGACTATGCTCACAACACACCAGGTTGCGCATCGATAGATATTCTTAGTTACTCCAAGCTTTGAACAGCTAAGTTGTAGAGAAAGGTTCAGCAGTGTGTGCGACACTATATTTCGCTTTTCGAACTTTGAAGCTAAATGGGATCCATCTTTATTTGTTCATTTATTAGCAGCACCATATTTTATCACAATCCGGTTCGCTTTGCTAGCCACCTGTCTCGCACTGTTGTTCTAAATCTGTGGAAAATCTCCCTTCGTCCAGCTTACGTGCGCTTACAGCTATAGTTGAATAGTTAAGGATTAAACATTATCCTAAAATTGCTGTCATAATTACTGCAATATCTCCGAAAAAGTCAGAAGAATAACAAATATTTCGCAAGTACAATGGGTTAAAATTTTAAGCAACACCCGGATGATTTGCTTAATACATACATTCGTATAGCTTGGGACAAAATATACACGTCAACCTAAACTTTCACCATTTGCTTACCTTTCCCTTTGAAGCTGCGCAAATAATCATATGTTCGCGGAGATCTTTGTAATGTTTCTTGCATTCCTGGGGCATCAACACTGTCAGATTGACCTGGCGCAATTTGTCCGGATTCCATTCATCGTCATTCGTCCGACGTATATGATGTGTAGTGCCTGGCAGTCCTGCGCGGCTCAATAAGCTCTGTACATTCTTAACGTGACCAGTGTCCCATCCAATAGCGTGGCATTCAGCACCGGTTTCCAAAAGATTGAGCTCATTTGGCAAGCAGGCATAATTAATCTCCGGATCTGCGATAGATCGAATTGTTGCCATTTGAGTCTAAGCAAAACCACATCTAAAAACATGCAGTAATCCAAATAAACTAGGCAAACCACGCTTAACTACCAATGAGAAGCCACTCACTGCTAACAAGTCCCAGGTACTTTCTCGCAGGTCCGCGTCTCTCACCCATGGCGAAGTGGCACTAATTACTGGCAACCGCAAGCCATGGTGTTAAACACAGCAGGTGATCATGATGAATTAGCTGAACTATACCAACATCCCCACTACACATTAGTAAGATAAATATCTGTCGGTTTAGAAGCTAAGTCCTTGTGCCGTGCCAAGGCATCATGCGGAAGATCCTAGCTTGTGGGGCTAGCTGCTGTCCCCTGCACAGTTCATAACCGCCATGGCCGTGGACAATGAACCGGGCTATATTATACTCAACTCTCAATCATGCAGGTCCGCGGCTGTCACCCATGTTGAAAGGGCACTAATTGTTTACATCCATACTTCATGGGGGCAGTACCATGCAAATGCCTGCTGGAGGGCAAACCACTGAGGAGACCCAAAAGATCGAAACAATGATGTCTGGTGCTTTTCCAGACTTGTCAAAGCCTGCCGACTGAGAGTGACCATGATGGATTATCTGATTTATACCAAACTCCTAACTACTCATTATAAACCACAATAACAAACCTACCCAAAAAACCTACGTGTTTGTGGATTTGACTTGTGCTGGAGTAGTAAGCAATCTGTGCACAAACGTGCATAATAAAACAGAAAATGCAGATTGGTTTTTAATGTCTTCATGCGGCGATTACCGATCGGTAGCGCAAATGGATTCCAAGCCTTCCGAGGACGCCGGTTGAAGCGTGCTTGCGTACCAGGCGACCAACCCATAACCTAAGTGTACGGGCGACTAATTGTGGCTTTGTGGCGGCAAAGTCGCGGTACTGCGTACCGGCGTGTTGGTGATGCCTCACTGCTAATGCCATACATTAATCTACGTTGAATCAAGCACTGTCGCAAGGGAAGTGCGCCACATTCCATTTAGGAATAAGAAGTAACAATTTGGAAGTCTAACAGCGATCGAATTGTTAACATGTAGATATCATCGGTTAGCTGCAGTCAGCATTGGCAAATTAAACAAAAGCAAACAGTTACACATTTCGCGGTTCAGATTTAAATTAAGGTCTCAGTAATTATCAAACCTATGGTTCGGAACCAGATACAAGCAAAAACTAAGACCATATATGATGGTTAATCAAAGTAGACAAGCATTTTTGAGCTATAAACCTCAGTACCCATTGTCCACAGCTTTCCCATTTAAAGATCCACTGCAATGAACTAATCTACAGACAGCTGAGCCGGCCTCATTAATTATTCAATAATCATCACAGTAAATCTGCGCCGTCAATAAAATGTGCACTTATGTGATGGGTGAAATGTCGTTTGTCAGATCGAGATAACCATCACTGAAATAAATAGAAGCGCTGTTAATCACAGTATTTCAGTATGAAGAGTCTTCAAAAACTTAGTGCAGCCCCCACGTACTTAGCGCAAGCGTGTAAGACGGAAAGCATTAATCCAACTTTGAAATCGTAGCTGTATGATTATTGGCATATATGCAGAAAGGGCTCATTTCGTTATGCTTTTCATAATGCAGACCAAGTTTTGCTTGTGCTGATAAGAGAGCAGTTACTGTAGTATGAATGGTTTCCATTTAACAATGCATCTCCATCATCCATTAATCCGATAAACCGATATCTGACACCTACAATGAGAGAAGTAGTAACATTTTTGCTGTCGATCCAGAGCACAAGAGGCTCCATTTCGATAATAATTAGGCATTACAAATAATAACTTAACTTCATAATACCTATGATTAGTTTAAATAAAACTGATGCGCGGACAGTGTATACTGCTTAAAAATTGCTGCTGCCATGCTGCTGTATTTGCGGTCAATCGAGCTGACCATGATAATGAATTGCCAGTGGTTCTATACACAAGACATACTTAGCATTACCTGACGTTTAATGACCGCAGGTTTTGCAACTGTTTTATGTCACCATGAAGTACGCCAGACATTGTAACTTCAAGTGAAAAGCGACCGAAAAGGTAGCTTCCGGATAAACACCTTTTAGGAAGCATCAGAACCGACATACAAAGCAAATATTTATGAGTACAAAAGTAACTAGAACACTCGGGAACCGTGTATTTTGAATTACACATCATGCAAAGGCGTCCCCCATACTAATTTTGTCAACCCAACCTCATCTCATGATGCATTGAAATCAAGTTGAGACTTACAATCCGCAACAGGCTCTTTCATGTACAGCAATGCGATGTCGGCACCGTTGTTCTCTCTACCCGGTTGAAAAGCCGGGTGTAAGATTACATTTTGGATCTCGTATACCTGAAAATACTCCTCTCCCGTTTGGACGTCAAGGTCACCCACATATGCAGATATAGGGTTATTATCAACTTCTGCGTCCTCTTTCGTTTCCATAAGCGAGTTCTTATCCACCCATTCGGTGACGCAATGCGCAGCGGTGACAATCCACTGAGGACCAATTAGCGTTCCACCGCACAAAATTTCTTCGCTCTCTTCTGTCGCTTGTATCGACAAACGTACCTGTAAATGAGGGTAATCAAGCCTAAGATCGGTCCATTATAAAGCCAATGAACGATGATTGACCGGACAAACTATTTATAAGTCACACTACTAAAATAAAACTAGCCAAGCCTTCAAGTGTCTGTGTGCTGAACAAAAATATGGGTCAAATTTCAAGATTGGATCTAGGTTCTTTGTACTCCACAGTAACAGTTTACATTGCTTACTACATGACAACGGTTTTCATGTAACAATGTTAATACATTTAAAAAAATGAGGTCCTTGGGTACTTCCTCAGCTTCCTTGCCTGTTGTAAGAGCGTTTCTGGCGACTGTCCAACTGCATTCAGCCAACATGATGGCCAATTTCCATAGTAACCTTGTTCTATCTTCGATATTTCTTGGTCCAAACTTTCGCTATGTTCATGCTTAACCATAACGTAATTTTAAATGTAGAAATCAAGGTCAAACGGAAAAAGAGTACCTTTTCTACGTGTTATGTCCAAATCCGGATAACTCTTCAGCATATAGCTGAAGCTGTATAGCTTTGTGTTTATCCCTTCTTAAAATGTTTGTAAGCAAGCAGTACTCCAAGCTTGTTTCCCAGCACCCTGCAGCGAATTGTTGCAACGGCCGTATATATATATATATATATATATATATATATATATATATATATATATATATATATATATATATATATATATATATATATATATATATATATATATATATATATATATATATATATATATATATATATATATATATATATATATATATGGTTGGCGGATCCGGTTTCGGATTTGCCTGTCACTGTGGCAAGCCACAGGACGCCTGCGCCTACAGAGGGACCATGGATGGCTTGCGCTGCACCACCCACAGCTCCATCCACATACTTCATATCCAGTGTAAACCCGAAGGAATAAGACCGGGAGGCATGCGGATGGGAACCACTTTTCATCAACGGAGCCGGCCGACACTCCTTCACAGGCAAACACAAGCACATTGTATTTGAGGAAATCAAGCGCACACAAGGCGGTGGCTGGACCGTAGTCCGCTCCACACTGACTGCATGGAACCACTCTTTGATCCTAACACGGCCACAAGGACCGTGCACCCCGTCCCCTCCAGCAACGACCAACTGTCTCCTGGAGCCAGTATGGACGAGGTAGTGGGTAATAGACAGGTAGGCACCTTGTCAACATGCACATCAAGCGCAGCCATACCGGGGATATCAAACAGCAGCCAATCACTTGGGAGAGAGAGAGAAAGAAAAAGAGAAAAACTCGATTAATGCATAAGGAAACAGTGACGTAAACCTTAATTAAATAGCATACGTGATAAGTTGTTTACAAAGAAATCCTAGCTAAGTGCACGAGGTCAGAAAGTATAGTTCACGGAATGCCACGAACACAAAAATGTTATGGCGATCGAATACAATTGGCTAAGGCGATGTGTGCAAGTTAATGGAATAGAGTACAGGGAGATATTTATATGAGAAAGAAAAGCATTAAAGTATAAACTATAAACCCACCACCTGAAATAAGGAGACTTAGCATGCAAGCACGCGGTTAGTAAATCGAATTCAGCGTGCCTACAAACGCTGCGCCGGCTCGCCGTATTTCTCTGCAGGACCCGTCGTCGCTTCTGTAGTGGCCCCAAAGGGCCTAGCTAATGTCCCACTAGACATTTATATGAGAAAGGCATAAGAAAGAACCGAAAACCCACCACCTGAAATAAAGAGACTTAGCATGCAAGCATACAGTTAGTAAATCGAATTCAGCGTGCCTACAAACGCTGCGCCGGTGCTGCCTACGTTCACTGCGGGACCTGTCGTCGCTTCGGCAGTGGTCCCGAGTGACCTCTCTCATGGTTCACTAGGCCTGCCTGACTAAGGCACTCGCGACCGCATGTTCTACAGCACCATGCGCTCGATGTCGATGGAGTACAATTCATCGGTGCTTGCCGCTTCCGCACTTGCCGCTTCTTCTCTGCATGCATGAGGGCTTTCTCCCGCACTTCAGCAACCGCCTTCGTAATTAGATCGCGCCATGCACCACGATCAACCGCCTTCGATTCCCATGATCTGCAATCAAGATTAGAACGTGTGAGGCTCACTTTAATCATGTCCCGGTAACGTACCTTTGGTTTTCCAACGTGCCGCTTCCCTATACTCAGCTGACCGTATAAGAGTTGTTTCGGTATCCGCGTCGAATCCATACGGCTCACATGACCGAGCCATCTCATGTGTCGCAGTAAAAGTATGCAGTCCACTGCATACATCCCACTTCGGCGCAACACTTCCGTGTCTGCAACTCTGGCGCCCCAACCGATCCGCAAAATTCGTCGCAGACACTGCTGATGAAACCGCTCGAGATATCGCACATCCCGACGGTACATCGTCCACGTTTCACTGCCTTATAGAAGAACGGACAGTACCATGGATTTGTACACCATCAGCTTCGTGCCAATGGTAAGCTGATGGTTGTTCCACACTCGGTACTCAAGCTTCCCGAATGCCGCCGCTGCCTTCGACACGCGATTACGCAACTCAACGTGTAGCTGCTGATCAGTCGACATCACACTCCCAAGGTAGCTGAAACGGGAGGTGGTTTCCAATACTTCAGCACCAACGCTGATTCGCGGCAATATTGAAGATTGCACCTCCGGTGAAGGCTGAAAGAGACAGACAGTTTTGCTTGTGCTGATGGTGAGCCCGAATTTGGCCGCTGTCGAAGCCAGAGCACTAGTCATGTGCTGCAACTCATCCGCGCTGTGTGAAAACAACGCACAGTCGTCAGCAAACAGCAACATACGGATAGTTGTCTCACAGACTAGAGTTCTCGCACCGAAACGACGGATGTTCAGCAACCCACCATCCACACGGTGCTTTGCACGAACACCGTAAGCACAAGCCGCATCAAAAGCACAAGATAACATTGCATGAAGATATATATTAAACAGGGCAGGAGCTAAGACACAGCCTTGCTTCACACCAGAGACAACTGCAAAGTCGTCCGAGGTCTCTACACTTAGCTGCACCCACGCTCGCATACCACTGTGCAGACATTCAAGTAAACTTACAAACTTACACGGGCAACCAAACTTACCCAACACCAGCCACAATGCCTCGCGGTTCACCGTATTAAATGCCTTGGTGAAATCAACAAAAAGCGAGTACAATGGCTGGTGTCGTTCTCTGCACTTCTCTTGCAATTGACGAGCCGCAAACACCATATCTATAGTGCTGCGACCCGAACGGAATGCACATTGCTCTTCCGCCACATTAGGTTCCACAACCTGACTCACGAGGCGATTGAGCAGGATTCGGGCAATCACCTTGCCCACACAACTCAGCAAGTTGATGCCATTAACATTTATTTTTGACATTTGCATGCATGGCTCGAGGGATGAGCTGTACAGCAATATGCCAAGAAAGGACGAATGTCCCGGCAGAATAGGAAACACTGATTGAAATAAAACTTCAAACAGTGGTCGGAACCGCGTCAATTTTCACCGTGTGGGATTGTTTGCTTGTGATGTAATGCGTGATGATGCCCCACGCATGTAGGTGTCGTAGACCTTCAGAGTCAGACGGAGACTAGAAACACAAAGGTCAGAAATATGAAGTGATGTCATCCTGAGTGCGGTAAGATGTTTGGCTGAGGTGGAATATATCATCCCTCGATTATTGATAACGACGGGGTGGTGAACAATACTTGTCGTCTCAGGAAAGTGTTCACGTATGTATCGCGATATGATTGCGGCATTCTCCCCTGATCCGTATTTATCCACTTTCAGTTTATAAGTACAATCCATTCGGTACGCGTCACAGATGGCCACGTCCACAATGTGAACCGTAGAATTTCTAACCGCAAGCAGGTCTGGCTTGATGAAGGAGGTGGCTGTCGGAATCCTCGGCTCCATAACAATGTTAAGGCTTCGGCGCCGCAATTGCCTGGCAATCTGTTGGGCAATTTCATTATGACATTTACAGCGGACATCATGCGTGATGCAGGACGCCTGAAGAACATGTGACAGAGTCTCTTTTTGCCCGCAGCTCCCGCGGCAGTTGAGAGAAGCCGGGTCATTTGTAGATCTGCCTCTGCTCCTTCGCGTTTTGGTAGAAAGAACGCCCCCCCCCGTAGTTGGACACCCCGTATAAAAAGACGTGGAGAAATCCTGGTGGGGTCCCTCAGCCAGTGGTGAGCGGAAGGTGACGTGACCACGTTTCGCAAGTGAGAGCCATCCACTGAAGCAAAATACGCATCTCTCCAGGCATCCGCAGCTGAGCTTTTATCCATGACGACGCGATTACCGATGGTAACAGTGGAGCGCGCTAGACGATGCATGGCAGCGGCTGCAGGGTCCCGGATCGCCTAACTGGTCACTGGATGGCAGTTGGCTAGGTGTCGTTCCAGCCTCTCCTTCAGTAGCAGGGGAATACTCGTTGACAGACACGGAATACCCAAACCAAAGCTCGCAATGGGAGCGTGAAGATATGCAATGGAGGTGTCTGACGGCAAGCGCAGTCATTTTCTGACGTGTGATCTGACGATGCGATCCAACCGCTTCAATGTATTCCGGTGAACCACTGCCAGAGCTAACTGATGAACATGCTTGGGGAGCAGATAGGTCCTCAGAATCTCAAGTCGTTGTTGTGGTTTAAGCGGTGTCTTGGTAACTTCGTTAAGTTGCACAGTAATATCGTCGATTACTGTTTGAGGGAGCTTACCCTTCCAGTTAAAAGGCAGGCCCAACATCTTGAACTTTTCATCGGGCTGAATGGAGGGAATAAAAATAGGACCATAGTCAAACATTGCTTGCTTGCAACATTGCTTGCTACCTTTGCCCTTGTACAGTGGTAGCACAAGGGCATCCTTCAGCTCAGCAGACACCTCCTCCTCAATCCACACGCGTTGCACCAAGTGGTGCAGCGCAGTCAACAACGCGGGTCCACCGTGTTTCAATACTTCAGGCGGGATCCCGTCACCTCCGGCACATTTGCCGTTTCGCAAT